CTGAGGAAGACTATCAGTATATACATAAACTTGGACGAGAGGCAAATGGGGAGGAGAAGAAAAGGCGCAATGAACTTACTGATTTCCGTGACCAACGACAAGCAAAGAAAACTGCACGCAAGGAGGTTCAGGAGCAAAATGCAAAGGCAACTGCAGAACGGATTGCACAGTTGGAACTTGTTTTTGACAAGGAAAAGGTCCCAGGACTCAAGGGCACGTCCCTCAAGGACCAATTGAGACTCTTCAAGAGTGCAGGTGCTCCAAATCTCAAGCAAGGGCCAATGCCAACCAAAGTTGCTGATATCCGCAAAGCACTTGTAGATGCTATTGATCTGCATACAAATGGTGCTTGGAAGCTCATCCAAGATGAGGAGAGTGAGGGTGAGAATATTAATCTGTCAGAGGAAGAGGAGGATGAGGAGGATGAGGAGGATGAGGAGGAGGGTTGGGAGGATATAGAGGGCTATGAGAGTGAATGAGATGTTGCCAGAAAACTGCATTTTCTTTGGATATTTTTCATGTTTAGCATTATTACAACACTTTGAATGTATAAAGTAGGCTATTATACAACTATTCTACAAAAGAAAAACTAAGGGAAGTGATCACAACTCATTCTGGAATTGGATCAGTGGCTGTGCAGCACCTATTGGCCCAAGGTTGCCTCCTTGAGCTATGAGCTTCACAACAGATAGGATTTGGGCTTAGGTTTGCAGAGACGAAATCATCGATTACTATGTGGCTACAATCCTACGGGTCCATATTTTTAATTACTAGCCTTTAACCATGTAAAAGTGCTGATTTTCAAGGGTATCTCGGCACAGGTGCCACAAATAAAAATTCTGGATCCGTAGATCGATTGGAATTTGAATTCTAAGTAAAATCCGTCTGCAAATCATGTTCATACGTGCTGTTGTTGAAACGTTATAGTCCAATCTCTTCGGACTGCCTCATTTGGCAGGGAAAACAGACTGATTTCGCATTTTTGGAGCAATAAATGCAATTTCTCCAGGGAAAACTCTCCCAGTGGATTCATTCACTTAATTCAATCAAACCCATTGCAAAAAATATATTGAATAGGTGCTGTGGAAAGTACAAACTCAATGTCTCAAGATATTGGGCCTGTGACACCATGTCACGGCATGTCACTGGTCATCACACTTACCGAGGATTGTGCAACACCACTATGAGGTCAGGCGTGTGGACGGCGTCCTTGAAGGTGATAGTCGTCCTCAATCCCCCCGAGACAATTGTCTTCATTACGGCGCTGTGTCCAATAATGCAAAACTGACCTCCTTTATTTGCAGGTTGACCCTCGTCTGGCTTTGTAAGAGGGAAATATGTGGTGAAATCGGAGCGCTCGACGAAACAATGTTTATTGGCGGCGGAATCAGCAAAGGTAAGAACATTGTGAGGTCCTGATTTTGTTGTTGCTGTCAGCGTGTGAGTGGTGTGGTCCCAGGCACCTTCAGGATAGGACTCGATGACACAATCCTTTGACGCAAGTAATATTTCACTGGGTGAGTGGATTTCCAAGACGTTGTCATCTTCCGCTGAATGGAGAGGTGTGTCCTTGGTCAATAGACACTTGTCTCCGTGGATGTCTGCAATGAGGGCAAGGGTTATTTCTGACGTGGACGACGTGTCTGTGAGTGCGGCCATTACTGTAGGGGTTGTAGCGTGTGGTGCTGATCCCCGCGCCCCCCCACATCGTCCAAAATCAGGAGGGAATTGGCCTTCCTTTCCTCCCCCCTTCCAATAGCAATTTGCAATGGTGGTCCACGGCGTCCACAGTT